TTGTTCAACCTGCGAATTACAAATGTAAATTGGAGCACTAACTCTTGGCGGTATAAGTTGGTTGTTCCCCGTATAGGCTACTTAAATCTTGGTATCTCTTGTCGAATCTACAGTACAGCACCTTAATACTGTCCAATATTTCCAATTTTATTATTGTCATTAAGCCTCGGCTAAAGAGTCTTTCCACTAAAAATTTCAATCCTAAATACCCCATACCCGAAGTAAGCCAAACGACAACTATGCAACGCTTCTTCTTGAGGGAACTAGCTAGCGTGCAACGTGTATTATGTGTGCGCGGTGACGTTCCATACCCGGGTATGTTTTTTACAGCTTAGAGCAGGGGTCTCCAAACTACGGCCCGCGGGCCGGATGCGGCCCGCGAGGTCCTTTCATCCGGCCCGCGGATATCTTTTTGTTCACGGAAAAAAATTTGTTGTTAGAAGTGGCTGGGGTACTTTGCTCAGAAAATTCAAAACAATTTGAAAATCTAGCTTTGGTTATAAATACCTTTGCTCTCCGTGTTGCAAACATTGAGGAAAACATTGTGACTCAAATAGAGTCACTGGACAGCTGTTCCATGTTTCTGGAACAAGTACAGGGCAACAACTTGTCGCACTTTCAGCAGTGCAAAGTCTTCATGGCCGAAGCAACAGCTGAGTTCCCCACATCATTTGCATGCAAGATCATCAAAGACCCCTAGCTGCAGTTTCAGTAACGGTTTTCTGACTAGGATTCTAAGGCAGAAGAAGTGAGACTGCTTCAAAACCCATTTGAAGCAAATGTAACCAGTTGCCAGATGAATTCAGATGGAGGTCATTGAATTGCAAGCAAGCGATCTCCTAAGAGACAAGTTCAAAAAATTGCGGGTGGGTTTTTGTGTTTGCCCGAGAAGAACAAACTTGGACCTTGAGTGTGTTGTCGGCCGGACAGTGTTTCTTTCAGACTTTTTCTTCTTGAAGGAGGGGGGGGGGGGTTGCATTTAAAATGTGTTTATATTTCTATATAAATTCTATTTGTTTGGGGGGGGGGCACGGTGGACACAGCCACCCCAATGGATGCATGGAAGAAACTCTACTCTGGCCCGCGAACTGATTTTTGATAGTTAATAAAGCGGCCCTCGGGCTGAAAAGTTTGGAGACCCCTGGCTTAGAGGGAAGATTACTACAATGTCATATTTTTAAGTAACTGACATTTAAAAAAAATAATGCCCCAACCCGTACATCCCTCTAATCGTATTACATGTATTTGATCTAGTACTGCTGCAGCCATTGCTTCAACCATAGCTGTAGCCTACAAATGTGGATTAAAACTTCCTAAATTGTTTAACGCTAACAAGGCGCCAAGACAAATCTGGGAAATAAAAACAAATTCCGAGAAACCTTCGATAGTTTCGTACACGGAGGGCTAACCCGCAGGTAACACATCCTCCTTTAATGTGCAACAGGTAACACATCCTCCCTTAAATGTGCAACAGGTAACACTTCCTCCCTTATTCTACTAGAGGTAACTCTTCCTCCCTCTATGTACAACAGATAACCCTCTAATAAATCATGTGGCACTTCCTCCATGTACACCAGGTACACATCCTACATGTACAACAGGTGACACTTCCTACCCCTATGTACAACAGGTAACACTTCCTCCCTCTCTGTACAACAGGTAACACTTCCTCCCTCTATGTGCAACAGGTAACACTTCCTCCCTCTCTGTACAACAGGTAACACTTCCTCCCTCTCTGTACAACAGGTAACACTTCCTCCCTCTCTGTACAACAGGTAACACTTCCTCCCTCTCTGTACAACAGGTAACACATCCTCCCTCTCTGTACATCAGGTAACACTTCCTCCCTCTCTGTACAACAGGTAACACTTCCTCCCTCTCTGTACAACAGGTAACACTTCCTCCCTCTATGTGCAACAGGTAACACTTCCTCCCTCTCTGTACAACAGGTAACACTCCTCCCTCTATGCGCAGCAGGTAACACTTCCTCTCTGAATGCACTGTCCTCGAGTCTTTTGCCGTATTAAGCAGCTGTCAGTGATATTTTTTTTTCCTGCTCCGAATTTCTACAGTTTTTCTACACACCGTAACCCAATTTAAGCCGTCCATCTACACCCGTAGCCCCCCCCCCCCCCCCACCCACTAGCCTGCATTTACAGGACAAAGGGGTCACATTTCGTGTGGGGATAGCCGTGTCGTTCGGTGTGCGAAGAAGGGACAAAGGGCTCACAATTCTTGAGTGTGGGGGAGGGGGGGAGGGTTAAATCTCGGCCCCATAGTGACACATGTCCACACACACAAAAAAAGCTTGACGGTCACACATTTAGTCTTGGACGGCCGGAGATGCACCTGTTGATTTTGTGCCTAGGGCCCGCGTGCTATATCGGGAGATAGGAATTTGACCAGTTGGGGCTAGAGAGAGAGAGAGAAAAGGAAGAAAAAAAAAACTAGACACTAGGACTCGGCCTCCACACACAAAAAAAAAGGTGATGTGTTTGTATTGGGAGATCCTTGCGCGAGGGCCAAAATGTCGTGAGGTTGCTTCTGAAAATGTCTGAATTTTGTTATTTAAAGTTGGCTCTGAAGGAATTAGTGTTCGGGCTGCAAAATTTTGGGGGTAATTAAAAAAAAACGCAAGCGATTCTGCATTACAAACATAACAATCGGCAGATAATCACAGCGAGGCTGGTTTTCCGTGTCATGTTATAGCTCCAGCCCCTACTTCAAGAATTTTTTCTCTCCCTTATCTGTTTTGGTGGTAGATTTAATTATTTGGATTAACTCAGCCATCTTACAGTTGTAGCCCACGATCCTGTCGGTGTGTGTGTGTGTGTCGTCCAACTTTCGGATTTGGTTCTTTATGTCAGTTATATGTCACTTTTTTGGGGGGTGGGGGGGGGGGGGTTCGAGATAGTATTTGAAACGTATGGTTCACACTTTCTTTGATATTACAACACAAACTGTACCTCAAGCATAAAAAGAAATTTAAATTTAAAGATTCAACTACTTCGTATGTTTTTAAGAACCTTTAGCGAAATAATTGACGTATAAGGTTAGGTCTCTCTTTTTCTCATCATGCGTTAGGTCTCATTTGTGTTAAGTCTCTTTCTTTTGTGGTTAGTATCCAGTGTTTCTTCCAGATTTTTTTCTCCGGGGGGGGGGGGGGGGGCACTTGAAATTTTCGGGGGGGGGGGGTAGACTTTCTTCGGGGGGGGGGTAGGGACACTGTTAAAATAAATATTTTCTATATAAATTATATAAATTTCATTTCGTTCGGGGGGGGGGGGGGTGGGGGCGGTAAAAAAATGCCTGGAAGAAACTCTGTATCTTTTACGTTAGGTTTCTATTGCGTTATGCATCTTGCGTTTCTTTAGCGTTATATATATATATATTTGCGCTAGGTTTCTCTTTATTAAGTTGTCTCTCGTGTGTCGTGTTCATTTACAACTCTACCACAATCGTGAACAGACACTGGAACACATCACGAATGTCTCGACAAGCGGGCGTCTCCACTTAAATCATGAAAACCATCGCTAGCTGGTTTTTTATTCCAACGTTTCGCGCTTTCCTTACCAGACGTCTTTGATGTATTCACGGTGAATGTCGTCACACCAGCACACCTTTCTGTACCTAGATCAGCCATACCTGTTGCCTTTTACATCGTCTGGGCCTGCTACCTTTCAGGTGTACACCCGAACCGCTTCAGTTATTGTTCAACGGTCATCCTGAGTTGACATCGGTTTTGTCTAATATCGCATCGTCTTCATTGATGTGCTTTTAACAGTTGACATAAGTTTTGTCTAATATCGCATCGTCTTCATTGATGTGCTTTTAACAGTTGACATCAGTTTTGTCTAATATCGCATCGTCTTCATTGATGTGCTTTTAACAGTTGACATCAGTTTTGTCTAATATCCCATCGTGTGCATGGGTGTCCTTTAAAAAGTTATCCATAGTCTGTGTCGGCTCGTAAGGACCCATCAAAAGGATCGCCGCTATAGGTTTTTAATGTCTGTGTTAAATGCTTCAGTGAACTGTGACTGAAATTAATTGTAATAGATGGGTTTTTTAGATATATACCATTACACCCCGTGTGTTGGTTGCAAAGTCTCTAGACAATACTATCTAAGGGTGCAATGTTCGTGGGAATCAAACGTCAAAAGTATACATCAAGTAATGTGCTATGTAGATACCAGGAATATGGGTGCAAGTATACTGATTTCACGGCGTACGGGCATCAAGGTATACATAGATATGTGTACCATGTAAAACGTTTGTTTGGGCAAATAGTTTCTTCCATATATCTCTTCCGGGATGGGGGGCTGGGAGACTACGATGACGCAATAAATAGAAAACTATTTTTGTTTAGAAAATATATGCTTTGACTCGTGTCGTCTCCCCCCCCCCCCCCTGCACATCGTAACGAAAGTTTTCCCGTAAGTTCAACCCCCCCCCCCCCCCCCCTCTTTGGGCATGAACGTTTTCGGACACCAATTTAGCCCAACCCTTTGGCTAAAATTGCCGGGGTTGGTCATGAAATACATAAATAGTCAATCTAATGTACAACTTTCAACACATGTTAACGATGTTTTCTTATCACTGTTACATTAGCGTTTAATGGAATACCCAACAGATTAGTTTTGGGGGTGAGAACCCTTTCAGTTTTGGCACTCCATCCAATGAAAGCCACTACAAAAGTAGTGAAACAAAAAGTATTTATGTACAACGTAATTAACAAATTAAAAAAAAACAAACTAGAATGTTCTGCTAAAATTGGTTTGGTTTTTAGGTAACGCCAATCAACTGAGTTATTTTATTTATAAAGCGCTTTATTTTGAAACATAGGCTATTTATATTTCCTATAAGTGCTATCATAATTGTAAAAACAAAGTTATATTCACTTCGTTAGAATATACATAATAGTAAAGAGAAAATTAAGTATGCGTTATTTCTTAAGGAACACTTGGATGTATTTGTTTTTTTTTTGTTTGTTCAGACAGATGACTCGCAGATAATGAAAGAATGGAATTAAGGTGGGTCACGTGATCGAGGCTGTGAGCGCCATGATTCGACCGTTGCAGTGACGTCAAAAGATGGGAATTATCTGGTTGTTAATTCTGGTTACTGCAGTTCTGGAGGGGCTTCCTGTTGGCCTGTGTCAGAGATTCGAAACTTCTGGAAAAGGTACGTTTTTTTTAAACCTTAATTCGAAGCTGTTTTCTTAGATATGAGATTTTTATCTCTTTAATCATTTTGATTGCTTATTAAGCTCTTCCTTTAAAAAAAAACCCAACCTCTTCATTCAACTCCTGCTATTTACATTAGTTTTTGTGAAAGCAAAGATCTGTTTGTTTTCTCAAGGTGAATAGCTTGTCTTGATCTGTCTGGTTTTCTTAATTTTTTAATTTATCATTTCTTTAGCATTCATGTTTCTTTCATCTACAAATTAAACGCCAGTAAGTCTGTACGCGGCTTATAATCCTACTGGTAAATTAAATAGTAAATGTTAAAGGTGTCGACTGCTTGAAGACGTGTCCACATAAACATCCCATAAATGGGATTTTTTTTTTGGGGGGGGGGGGGGGGGTCGCATTTTCTATGCACAAAAAAGGAATGCTACGTTTTGGCTGTATAGCCAGTTGGTCGGATGAGTTGACATTTTTTGTGAACGCCTCCTTTAAAGTGATAGTGTGGTCAGTTTTCAATGCCTTCACTGACCCTAACTTGACGCTAGATACCCATCTGAGTTAGGTGGACACAGAGTCGTTTTACGGAAACGCTATACTCTCAGTATGGCAAACGTTTGATCTACCACTTAAAGCTTACATCTAAATATTTTATTCAAGAGCTTCATTTGGATAGTAGCGTTTTATCCATTAGTTTGCCAATGACACTGTTGCTATCGTTCACTCCAGCAGTCAAGCCATTCCAGTGATTATTTTCGCATTTAATAACAATTTTATACTAAACGTTTAATTTAATTAGGATTGAACTATTATCTTTCGTGATTTTTAAAAGTGCTAATCTGTCCGAATTTTCAAGTTATAATTTTTAAGCAATTTCTTTTGAAAATGGGATTAAATGTAGATAGTTATAAATTGTCTTTCTTGCAAGTTAACGTAGATGGTATCATACGTTTGATATTTACTGCTACAAGTGTCTACAAGACTTAAGACATCTCCTTTAGAATGGACAACATGTGGTAGAGAGTAAGGGCAACAAATGTCATTAAAAACATGTCCGCCAGCTGCCCACATGAACCTCACAGGGGCGGAGTAAGTGGGGGAACATGTGATGTTGGTAGTGTAGAGGCGTATGCTTTTGGGTAGGTTGAAGTAGTGTAAAGGCGTATACTTTTTTTGTAGGTTAAAGTAAATGCGTAAGCATTTGTGTAGGCTTTTTTTTAAAACTTAAGATATAAGACGAGCACATCTTTAAGAAGTAGACTTCACAACTACAATTTAGCATCTGATTGTTGAAAATACCAACTATTTAGTGTTAATCGTTCGGTTTTGCCTAATATTCCTGAACTGCATAGTGTATTTTAAACAATTATAATATAGTTTGGAATCCTATATGTACAATAGTTATGAAATAAAAGCAATGACCACACCTTAGTAGGTTGTGGCTAATGAAAAGACAAATTAAAACCGACGACAACAACTGCCGTTAAAAAAATGTAAACCGATGGCCACAACTACGTGCCATAAAAACCCGATGACCACATGTGACTTAATCGAGTGCCCCCCTGGCGGCATAAATGCCCAACTTTTGATACCTAACAAGCAGCCGCGCGCGATTAGCGCCCGCCGAGAGTATTCTGTTGAAGTGTAGTTTATCATTTATTCAGCAGATAATGCATACCTCCGTGTGAGTCTTATCTCACACCTATCCTCGTACGTCTTCGCCTTATTTTTTCTCCTCCCGTGAGTAGCGTGAACGCCCGTAGGCGTATCTATAACATGTTTAAAAAATAAAGTAATTTGAAAACGCGTGTAAACTGAAAGTTTCGTAAACACAGCGGTAACCAAAACTCTAGTTCCTGTACGTTAAGTTTGCTTTTATTTACGTGTTGTCACATCATTGCCCACGAAGCTCTACGCCAGCATCACTCGGCGGAAGGCTCGGTTCTAGCGTATAAGAAATACCTCGTGGTCTGTAACATAGTACGAGCGGATAGTCGTCTGAAGTTTGTGTGCGTATGTGTGCCTGTGTACCTTGATAATGTCCCTGTATATTTTTCTAGCGGCCTGGCTTTGCTTTCCCTAGCCGGGCTGAACTTTCTGGAATCTTCACGCTGTAAAAGAGCTGCAGATATCCGGCGTTGCTGGCACTCGTCAGGAATGGGTGCCTCAATACGCGGCTCGTCTATCGAAGATGTACATTCTTGTTGTAAATATTTTGCTCGTGCATGTATGTCGACAAGGGGCGTGTATTTGTGTACACGGGGCGGAATCGATATTTTTGGAGGTATTGTTTTAACATTGTTTGCGCCAAGGTTACTTTATAACGTTACATAAGACGCGTGGAACTCTTTAAAAAATACCTTAGTGCATTGTTAGCTGAGGTGCTTGAGATTGTTATTTTTTATACCATTTAAAATATAAAACAATCTACACACTATGTAAGGTAAAACAATCATGAATTCTGGTAAAATTAAAATCGTTTATAATTTAAACTGTGACTTCCTGGTTATATGGACATGGTATTGTAGCTATGTAATTCTGGCATTAGTTACAACTGTGTATAGTGTTAGACCTGGTTTCCTACCTACTCTACTATAAAAGCTAGACACGGAGAGGAGGGTATCCTAGACGGCCGACGCTATAGTGGCTGGGCAGGGACGGAAACTGCAAGGGGGGGGGGGGTGGATTAAAAGGGTCGTGACCTCTCGCCTTTAGTTTATTTGTTCCCGGCCTACTGTACATAAACACAGGTGTTTGGAAATGTGAGCTTTTGTCGCACTTTCGTTTTTCGTTCACAAGTTCGCGGAGACGGCGTCCGTATTAAAATACATCTCGCAACATGCGACTGTTTAAAATATAACTCTACGGTGTAGTAGTAAATAATTGTTTTAAAATACATCTCGCAACATGCGACTGTTTAAAATATAACTCTACGGTGTAGTAGTAAATAATTGTTTTAAAATACATCTCGCAACATGCGACTGTTTAAAATATAACTCAACATTCGACAGCGTAGCAGTAAAGAATAGCTTCAGTATATCTCGCAACATTCTACAGTCTAAGGCCTAGCAGTTTAGAACTGGTGGATCGGCTGGGAAAAATTACAAGTACGAGCGAAACTAAGCAAAACAAATTATGTTGCAACCGGGATCTTTAAGATTCACATTTTAAAAAAAAATACAGTCGGAGTATGGTGATAATGTGTAAATTAGTAAAGATGTGATTTTATATTTACACTTAACTTTGGCCATGCGCGCAGAACCTAGTTCATTTATAGAATTAATCATTATAGTGTCATAATAAAGGACGAGGGTTATTACAGTGGTGATAAGGGTGTCACTCTGATGATATTGGTATCACTCCAAGGTGTCTATGATTTACGAGGTGTCGTTCTGGTGTATGCGGTGTCTTTCTAGTGTATGATGTGTCACTATAGTGTTCGAAGATTCACTATAGTGTACGAGGTGTCGCTCTAGTGTATGTGGTGTCTTTCTAGTGTATGATGTGTCACTGTAGTGTTCGAAGATTCACTATAGTGTATGCGGTGTCGCTCTGGTGTATGATGTGTCACTATAGTGTTCGAAGATTCACTTTTGTGTACGAGGTGTCGCTCTGGTGTATGCGGTGTATAAAGTGTAACTCAGGTATTAAATTACCACATATATAAATGGTTGCCTGTATTCACCGTGACCTGGTCTTAAAGAAGAGTTTTATAACGTAGCTCTAAACAGGATGTGGCCTAACTGTTTCTATAGCCACGGAACTTGAAAACATAAAAACTTGGCTAGATAAGAAGCAAATAGACCCCGGCAACACTCGGAGTGCATTGTACCCCTGATATGAAAACGATAAAAATTTCGGTTAAGATATTTTAAAAAAAAACTAGTCTAGATCTCTGTAATTCCAAATGGTTTAGTTCAAATCTTTATAGAGATGGGGGTCTTCTAAAATCGTTACAAGGGTGCTAATTCGGCGCGGTTTTTCTTTAAAGTGAAATTTCTTAATTCTGCAAATTTTAAATTGCACACATTTTCAATGCGACGAGCAAAGGTTTCTGATCTATAAGTCACCAGGCCGCAGGTTGTATTCAGAATTTCATGTTAGGTACGAATTCTGGTGTTATTTGCTTTTTGTGCGGTGTTCAGAAAAGTCTTGTACAAGGATATGCAATTTATACATGGACTCGGCAGGTTTGCAACCACTGTGATCACACAGGGGAAACTTTTGGTCACGTTTATGAAATCTTTCCTCGATGTTTCAGCATGTCCTTATGGACTGAGCCATTGGACACGTTAAGTTAGTACTTTGTCAATACTATATCTAGGTTAAAATGACTTCTTGAAATTACTATAAATTCCATACTCTAAATGAACTAAATACGATACTGATCGCCGAAATTACTGGGTGGTTAAAATTTGCTAATAAGTTGCCTGCGAATAAGCTAGGAAATTAATAATAAACACACACAAAAGAAAAGAAACGAAAACGAAACTTTCCCGAGTAAAGAAAAGACTACGCCAGTGATTTTAAAGTAAACCTAAAGACGGGGAAATGATAGGGCAGTCACAAGTGGGTCGTACTTCCGGTCTCCGAGGTGTGGCTTCGTCATAGGGTGACAAGGGGGGCTCCTTGTTTGAGCTCGTGGTGAGATGATTGTAAACATGTAGTAGAGAAAGGGTGTAAGGGGCAGCTAAAGGGTAGCCAGTTCAGTGGCGTAAGTAGTAGAGAAAGGCGTAGCATTCGTAGAATTCGCGTGTACACCAAAACATTTTCTAGGATCTTCTACCAGACTACGGTTGCCTTCAGGTGTGTGTGTGTGTGTGTGTATATATGGTTAGGAGTGGGGTGGCTATTTGACAAGAGGCGCTGACAAATGTGGTACATTCGTATCCCACCTCACTCACTACTCAGCATACATGTGTAAAATAATAAACAAACTCCACCCTGCCATTTATCCCCACTCCACCACTCTTATCAAACTTTTGCAAACGCCCTGGCTTTTGAAGTTTTTTACAGTTTATAAAAACCTTACACTTCTTTCTGCGTTTGGTGGTAGTCACTTGAAATGCCGATATTTAGCGGACTGTTTTATTAGTTAGGGTTTTACACCTGTTGTGCTTTTTTTTGTTACTGTAATAGGTCGGCCGTGGTTCTGTATTAAGGTAATGAGATGTTTCTCTAGGACTAAATGACCGTGTTTCTCTATAAGGGCTATATGACTGGTTTCCATATAAGGACTATATGCCTGTGTTTCTTTATACACTGATGTGTTTCTCTATACTTTAAGGCAGGGGTCTCCAAACTACGGCCCGCGGGCCGAATGCGGCCCGCGAGGTCCTCCTATCCGGCCCGCGGAGCTCTTTTTGTCCACGGAAAAAAACGTTTGTTGATGATGGCTGAGGAACTTTGCCCAGAAAAATCAAAGACATGCCTGGAAGAAACTGGCCCCCGAACTGAAATTTGATAGTTAATGCGGCCCTCGGACTGAAAAGTTTGGAGACCCCTGCTTTAAGGGTATAGAACTGATGCGTTTTTCTATAAGGGTTATATGACTGCTGTGTTTCTCTATAAGACTGATGAGTTTCTATATACAGAATATACCACTGATGTGCGACTTAATTAGGGTAATAATATGACTGATGTGCCAAGTTTTACATAAATAAAAAAACAAAAACAAGTAGGGTCGGTTTGATGTTGAAAACAACCAAACATCATAAATCAACACGTATGAAAATTGTACCCTGTTTAATTAAACAAACTATTTTTTATTATAGACATGTATTGAAAGGCGATAATCTAGAATATTGTTGTAAATTGGTATAAAAAAAATACACACCAGAAAGATATCGCTGTGTTAATGGTATGTTGATGGTGCAAAAATGACGCCTGCATTAACGTGATTTTCATAGTGTCCCCGTCGTTGTTTTTATAGTGCCGTTACCTATGAAGGTGAAAGCACTAAAAGTATCCATCTAAAAAGTATCCCCCCATTGTATACTCTATCTACACTGTAGGCGTGTACTTAGAACTTGTATCCTTGGCATTTGGTAAACGTGCCTCCAGTTATCCCAGCATCGCAAGTATTTCTTAATCCCAGGGCTGGCGGCCTATATGATCCATGTGTGTTATTGATAGCGTCAGCACCGCTACAAACCTATCGGCTCCGGTTGCTTCTGTCTACCAATGGCACGTGTTTTCGCTTACACGTGGGGGCCATCTTTCTTTAGTGTTAACAGCTCCGCGCATCTCTCCATTCCTCGCCCACACTTGTTACGACGGTCACGTGGTATTTTGCCGTTTCTGTGCTAATTAATTGTTCACACCTGTTTAGGTAGTTTATGCGAACCAAGCGGCTCTTAAAAAAACATATCTGATATCCTTATAACTATTCACTCGTGATTTTTTTTTCACGCTTGGAAAATAACTTTTCCATTACTTTACTTTTATTTCCAAGTATAATGGAAGAATTATATTTTTAAAGATTTTAAATTTTAATTACTGAACAATTAATTTTTAATTTTTTTTTTACAGACATCAAACCACATTTCAAGGAGCGCCCGGATAAAAGCAAAATAGCGGTAGTAGGAGATACTGTGAAGCTTCCATGCCAAGCATTTGGTACACCCAAACCGTTTCACGTCTGGTACTACAACAATTCATTGGTCAACCCCAGCAATAAAACAAGGTGAGGACATTCTGGGGCGTCTTAGGCCTAGTTGTAGCTAGTAGCTACTTGGTCAGGTATAGCTGTAGCTAATAGCGCCTTGTTCAGGTATAGCTGTACATAAAAGATCCTTGTTCATGTATGTATGTAGCTAAGGACGTGGGTTCAGTGTTTCTCTGTACCCTAGGTAAAGCTGTAGCTAATAGCTCCTTGTTCAGGTATAGCTGTAGCTAAAAGATACATGTACAGGTATAGCTAGCTGAGGATGTGGCTTCAGTGTTTCCCTGTACCCTAGGTATAGCTGTAGCTAATAAATACTTGTACACGTATAGCTTAAGGTGTCACCTAACAGAGCCAAGCATACATGTATCTTAGAGTGAAACATTTCTATAAAACAAATTTAAAAAAACCTTTTCTTTACTACAGGATCTCCATCAAAAGAACAACCCTAGTCATTAACAGGACAGAGATAGAGGACTCAGGAGTCTATAGCTGCCACGTATCCAATCAGTATGGGGAGGACTGGGTTAACATAACACTTACAGTCATAAGTAAGTTGACCACTTGACCAGTGTATGGGGAGGTTAACTCACTTTCATCATTCTACCAACTAAAACAAAAAAATCTCATGTTTTTTAATTACAAATCTAAGCTTTAATTGATGTTAATGAGACTGAGGGTGTCTGAATCTGAAAGAGAACACAACACAATTGAAGCTAGATATCACAGTCCTTTATTTCTCTACCTCCTGCGCCTCCAGTCACAAAATCAACCTCCTTGCTTTCACGCCCGACCTGTAACTGTCCTCCGCATTCATCCCTACACACCACCTATCTCTCGCTCACAACACAGCCACTGTCACCCGACCAGTCGCTTCCCTTGTACCCTCATCACTCCGTACAACAACATACACGTCAACACACCCGGCCTCGCGTCTCACTACATGATACCTACACACACGCAGTGATCTGTTCCAGGTATTCACCCTTCATACACATTACATCACCACAGAAACTTAAACTCATTTCATATAAATTATGTAGCTCTACCCTTGTGAATGCACACTTGTAATTCCTACATTATTTTTTTGTAGAGGAAAGTGAGTCGACTAAGTATGGTTTCGCAGAACAGGTTACAGAAGCTAAAGGTATTTATTTAAAATTAATTTTAGAGCAATAAAATCCATGTAAACATTAAAGTTTTATAACTTAGACATTTTAACAAGCAAGTCTTTATCAGAGTTTGCTTTGGTAAAAGTTCCAGAGAAAACAAATCCTTCATGGAGTTTAGAACAAAGAGGTGGAACTACCAAAAATGGGATGGTAACTTCCTACACGACATTTGAGTGCTGCCCAGAGGGAACGCCTAAACCTGTCATCAAGTGGTATAAAAATGGAACTCTTTTGGATGAGAGTACAAGTTCTAGGGTAAATACCCCATTTAAAAAAAAATATTTCTGCTGTGTTTGCTGTAATTAATGTACACCGTTTGAAATAGTGCTTAAACTACCACAGTGTAGTTATATTTTAAAGTAAGATAAATGGTAAGAGCAATCTCTAAAGTGTGATCTCCCCTTGGATGACCGCAAACTGTCCTCCCACAGTTGAAGACCTACTGTTTACAAGTGGCCTAACATCTAACATGCTTGTTTACTAAGGCTGCTTGCTCCTCTTTTTTTCTCTTCTTCTAATCTGAATGGTTTACTTAAAATGTGTACTCTCTAGCCTTGAGGAAAAATAAAACAATAGCTCTGTTTTAAACTTCATAAAGTTTGAATGCAATTAAATTATACTTGTAAAAATATTGTTTATTTTTTCATATTTTTATAATATATATTTATATATAAGATAATTGTGCTTAAAAATGTACATTTTTTAGCATACAATTTTTATTTTAGCATTAATTAGCTAAAAAAGAATCAGTTCTTTTAATTATTCAATGATATATACAGATAGTGCTACACAGAGGAGGTAGAGAAATGGTTCTGAGAGACTTGTTACTCTCTGATGCTGGAGATTACACTTGTATTGCTTCCAACATTCATGGATCTATTAAGTGGACTTATACTTTACAAGTTTATCGTAAGTAGCTGTTTCTTGACCATAAATAAGAAGAATAAAAAACTAAATTATATTATGATTTTATAAAAATAAATGATAAACAATTGTCAAAAATTAAAATTATTTTATAAAATCTAAATCAAATTTTGTTTTATATTCTTCTTAAATATATGTAAAAAATGTGTAAAAAAAAATGAATTCATTCTTCATTCAACAGCATAACTTCAGCAATATGTCTGTTCATTTACTTGTATGTCACTGTTTTATAATATGTATGGTACTTATGAAGTATGTCAGTTTACATCATCATGCAACCTCAAAAAAACACAACTCCAGACCTGCAAATATCCACTCAGCAAACTACCCTCTGTTTTTAACAAAAGTGTACACATGTTATATATTTTCTCCTTCTGTACATAAAAAATAGATGAAGCATTGAATAACCTACAAAATTAAGATCTTAACTGTGTGCTGTAAATAACAAAAATCTATGGGTGTGTCACTTCCTTGTAGTCCCTACATTAGTGAATAAAGAGGATCATTGTTTTCTTTACACAAAGTATAAATGGTAAAAAAAAAAACAACTACAAATTATAGATTAAAACTGTCTGTTGTATATGACAAAGAACTGAGCGTAAGTCCCTAAATTAATAAATGAAGGGTATCCTTCCTTTTTTTTTTTTACCAAATTAAATAACCTACAAGTTAAGACATCAACTATCTGCTCTAAATGACAAAGAGCTCTGAACGTGTGCCACTTCCTTGCTGTCCCTAAATTAGTGCCTTAGGAATGCAGATGTGAGGTTGAAATAGCTGTGCATTCCTCATGCACCACCACCAGCATCATCCTCCTTTAAACTGGAGCTGAAAACAGCGACAGCTCTTGTTCTGGATTGGACTAACACAGGGCATGTTATTTGAGGCAAACAGCACACAACAAACAAAAGGTTGGGGGGCAGGGAGGGAATGTGTCTGGGAGGGATTACCAGCAGCCTGACAAAGAGGAAGAAGGGTTGGGATTAAATATAATTTGGTTGTTTGAAGAAAGTCATTGCTATTTCCTTTTCCTGTTTAAACTATACTTTTCCACGTGGGTTTATTTAGTTAAATGATTATTGATGTCAATAGTTGGGGAAAAAAAACTTGAGGGAATCTTCACTTTTGCCTGCATGAGATTAGATAGGGGGCACCTTTCCTTCCTGATATTCTACAGTACCTGTGTTAGCACTTGTGGTGGATAAGAGGAGTTATCTTATCCTTGATGTGCCAAGTTGGCCACTAGAAGCTGCTGTGCACCCCACTGAGAAGAATGGAGGGCCACCATCAAAAAGTGATAACATAAAGATATCTACTAATTCTGATGCAGCAGATATCCTTGTTAACAGTTACAGACTTGATTATGGCTGGATTTTTTGTTTTGGTCTAGATTTTTTAAGGAAGAAAACAGTTACATTATGTGATAACAAATAAGCTTCTTCACACCTTATCTAATAGGTGGTTTAATGGTTAAATAAAAACTAATTTACCAAGTTATCCAAGGAGTGACAAATTGGGCTAACTTGAATTGAACTTGGCCTGCCTGTATTGAAAATTTTATTCCTATTAGCATATACTACCACTGTACTCCATCTCTATTTTATACAATGGATGAGAAAAAACACTTTCTACGACCAGTTTACATTGTCACATTTGATTTATTATCATTAGTAGCACATTGAATATTTTAATTAAATAAACAAAAGTATTTAAATACACAGACAGACTTATCACACACATAAATTGATCATTATACTTTTTGTATCCTCTTACAGAAAGAGCTCCCCATGTTCCAATAATAGAAGAACCCCTAAACCAGACAGTGCGTGTTGGAGAAAATGCCACGTTCATGTGCAAAATCCTCATTAGTCAGTTCCACCCTCATGTCCAGTGGGTCAAGCATGAGCCTGTCAATGGCTCAGAGACTGACGAAAATGGGAATTATTATTTTAAACTGATCCAGGTATGCCTCACTTTACAGTTTTGTGTCAATCAAATGTTTCAGTAGATCTCTTTATGTTGATGTTACATGTCCAAAAGTGGTAGTTGTTCCTAGAGCTATCACTTGTTTAGATCACTGTTACAATTGTTCACTTCTACACTTTTAGATGTTTGTATTCTTTAAATGTCTATTAGATATTTGTAGCTTACTTCTAGTTGTGCAATTTCTTTACACATTTCTATCGATAGTAATTTACACATTCCTATTTGTACAGTTTTTTAATATAATTGTTTTTCATTATTCATATAAAGTGTCCTTATAAAATGGGCTGAATCAATTATGTCTGTATCCTTGTCAGAACTTTCTGAAAATGCCATCTGATAAGCCTTGTGTTGTTGTCAACACTTCTCAGATAGGCAGACTAATTTTGTTTAATTACTGAAAGAGAAAAGATTGTTAATGTTTTCACTTCTCCTCTGTTAAATCATCTATATATTCACAACACAGCATCCCACTCCTATTATCCTATTCTCACCATGCCAGTATTTGATTATCTTCAGTAAAGCAACTTGTCAAATTTTATTTTAAAAAGTGACATTTCCGTCATTTAAAATAAGATTATAAATATAGTTAGACTACATTGTTTATAAATATTAAAATACCTACCAATGAAAAGGTTTTTTTGTAGCTGTTTGTGTTATCAAATGATCTTAGGTGAAGAAAGGAAAAGGGATTATCTAAAATTCTTTTTAAAATCAATCCTTTTTGCTAAATCCACCATCCATTTGATATTTAGCACTTATATTAGATGCTGGAAAGATATCAAATACTGACTAAGACTATTCTGACACTCTTTAATATTTTGCTTCATATTCTTTTGATGTGTATTTTGTTTATCAATATATTTTTTACCTTTTTTAAATTTTACCTTCTTTCCCACCACAGCATAACAAGGTAAACTAAGCTAAAAGAAAAGTAATATTTTTGCCTGCAGCAAACTGAAATTGTCACATGATTTTTTTGTTGTCACTTGATGTCGTATATTTGCCTTAATGTTGTCGCACAAATTCACATTTTTTTTTTACATTTTATGGCATGTTGTATTGACACCAATGATGTAGATGATTTTATAACATAGTTTTATTACAGCATCTACCATGAACACAATGGAATGGTTATGTCAGATCACTAAGTCATAAGCATGTTACAAGCGGGCAGCCAACATTTTTTTTTTCAGTAATGTTTATGATAATTAACAAGACTAATTGTAATGCGCTATGTTGTCAAAGTAATAAGGCAATATTTTTAAAAATGTACAGTAGCAATTTTATTTTATTTATTGAATGCATACATGGTCCCTAGCCAGTGGGATCTAAAATTTAACACTAACCTCACAAGTTTTATGCATTTACGCACCAACTAAAATCTTTTACTTTCATAAAATGCCTTTTATTTCAGAAATTGGCAGTATTTGAAAATGTTTATTTTTTGTGGATTTTTTCGGTGTGCTTTTGGTTTAAATTTTGAAGATATTTGAGTACCCATCCCCAAATTTTTAATGCTTTTTTTTGTTTTGTTTTCCCCCTCTTTGCTAAACTGAATTATCACAAGAATAGTTTTAATAAAAACTGTCAGAATTCCAAACACGTTTGTAAAAAAAAAAAAGTACAAAGAAATTTGCATCCAAATAAAAGCATGAACTTGACATTTAATGTCATTAATAAGCATGTAAACACATTAACTTTTATAGAACATAAATTATTTGGTTTCTTGATCGATTCTAAATTTTAATATCTTTTGATAGAATTAAATTCAACATGCAATCAAATAACTAAATTATCAGTATGCAAATAAAAGCATATAAAACTAAAATTTCATGCACCACTTGCTTATATCTTAAATTGCTATCAACGTACTCAATACACAACAGGATATTTAAAACCATTTCTTAAAGACAATGATTCTTATTGTGATGGTTGAAACCTTATTTTGATTTTATTTCAGGTTTCATCCATTGATAACAGTGAACCTGAAGTCCTTGTCATCTACAATGTCAGCAAAGAAGATGAAGGAAAATATTCCTGTGTGGTCAGCAATGCTATTGGCACTAAACACAAATCAGCATATCTGAAAGTTTTGGATGGTAAATTATATTTTCCAAGATTTCTATAGTTATGAAAAAAGTAATTCATTTTGAAAGTTTAAAATTACAATTGACAAATTTCCACATTTTAAAATAACATTCATAAATACTAGATATAAATTAATCAATCTACACAATTAATCTTGTTTACCAAACACACACAGTAAGTTCTTAATATGGTAGCAATCCATACTTCAATCATTTTTCTTTTACTAAATGCGACTTTTGATGTTGATTTAACAAATTCTTTAACAATTTTTAAAACTAAACATGATAATTTTAATTTAAAGATGTGGATTTGAGTCCTAAAAGCAGCAGCAGCACTGGTGGTGGTAATTCTTTAGAGTACACGGTATACTGGGTGGTGATCTCCATCTCTATTGTCATCATCATTGGCTTGCTATGCACAATATGCTTGGCATACAGAATGTGCAGGAGGAACAAGCCCCAACAAAGGAGTGTTAAGCGCATCATCATCATGAAACCTGTAAGTATAATTATGGCTATATTTTCCTTTTTTAAAAAAAATATTTGAAGCTAACTATCAAAATCTTAAACTAGACATCTTTCAGTAAATTGTATTTTCATATGTATATATTGGAAATATTATTTTCACTGAAGGGCTTATTTTAAATTTTTTGTTCAATTAAAATATTTTCTCTCTGAACTACTTGTTTGGTTGCATTTTAAAAGTTAAATAAAAACATTTCCTAGAATGACTTGTATATTGTTACATTTTTAAATTAAATTAAAACATTCTCTCCCAGAATGACTTGTATTGTTATATTTTTAAATTAAATTAAAACATTCTTTCCCAGAATGACCTGTATTGTGATAGCAAGGACCCTGATGCTATAGCTCCCCTTATGGTGCCACAAATTCGTATAGTAGAAGGATACACCAGTTCTAACAGTAGGAGGAAGAGATTGTCCTCAGACTTCACAGAAGTATCAGAGTACCACCTGCCCTATGACAGCAAATGGGAGTTCCCAAGAGAACGGTAATTTTTTCCTGCAGACCCAGAGACTTGACACAAATTGTATTCTATGTTCATTTAAATCTTATCTTTCAAACTTAATTATAAATTCGCAATTCAAACTTAATTATATTTTTTGGTTTTTAAATTTATTTTTTCAAAAGTAATTCCACCAAATTAAATTTAACATGCAGCTTTGTCTGATAGTTAAACTAATTAGAGAAATAAATTTTGCAGCCTTAAGCTTGGCCAGAGACTAGGTGAAGGTGCATTTGGGCTTGTAGTTAAGGGAGAGGCAATGGGACTCCAGAACAACAACAGCCCCACTACTGTGGCTGTGAAGATGCTGAAGAAAGATGCCACAGACAGGGAGATGATGGACTTGATAAGGGAGATGGAGACCATGAAGCGAATTGGGAAAAATAAAAATATCATCAACCTTCTTGGCTGTTGTACACAGAGAGGTAAAGAAAACCTATGATTACTGTAATTCTTTAGTGTTATAAAGTCTGATATATTTATTACACAGCAATTACTGTAGTCTTTTAGTAGGATACACAATAATTCTGCAGCATAATATAGTCTTAAGGGGATATGCGCGGAAAAAAATCACAAAATTTCTTGTTTTTTGTCATGATGGGTTTCTTGCACTTTTGGATACTTTGTCCATTTTTGTATATAGAAAATAATAACTTCAAAGAAAAAAAAATATTTTATGTGTTTGAATTACGATTTTTATGACCTATTAATTGAAAAATAATCAATTTTTCCCAATCTTACAAGCTCTCTATGAAAAGTTTTATATCCGTCATTATATTGTATTTGACATCATTGGAAAGCTGGATTTCTTATGTATTTAATAAACTTAATTTCCTACTTCTCGGAAACACCCAAAGCTTACAATCGGCTTTGCAGTTTACACAGATACGGTACTTTCCTGACCTAGTTTTCGTTACTTTTGGCTGTTTTTCTCAGTTCGCAGGTTTTTAACACTAAAAAGCCTACTACTTTTTTATTTATTAAACAATGCCAACCATATTTTCAGTAAACGTTCTTGATGCAAAAATACAACTTTTGTCACGAGGGAATTGTGATTGCTTTCAAAAAAAAAAAGTATTTGGTAATTAATATGCACATTTTGAAACTTTTGAATCCTAAAAAGGGTACGATTTTTTAGACCTTGTAAAATTCTTACTAGTAATTATTTCAAAAAGTTATCGTGACAAAAGTTTTAATATATACTGAAATAAAAGCAGTTTAAATTTGATTGATATAGATGCATAAATAAAAAAGCCTTAGCATTTTTAAAAGTACCGAAAAATTCAAAATGGCGGAGGTTTTTTGGTTTCCATGACAACCAAAATTGTTTTCGACCTTTTTTTTTTGATGTTTAATACTTACTTTTATATGCCAAATATGATTAAAGTATTCAAAAGGCTTTAGATCTTAAACTGTAAAAAATAGAAAAAAACATAGCATATCCCCTTAAGAACACTACACAATCATCTTAAGTATTATAATTAAAACATCAATTTTATAGAAGTATAGACTTAAAACATTATTTAACAGTTCTTTAAAGATTTAAATTTTTCTAAAATATTATAATGATTTTATTAGTCCGATATAGTAATTTAATAGCATTGTTAAAGCATTTATAGGTTGTAACAATGGCCATTAAAAATATACAAATGAACATTTTTTAGGACCCCTGTATGTGATTGTGGAGTTTGCACCATATGGGAACTTGAGGGACTTTTTGAAGACCCACCGGCCACCTAATCCAACCTTCCCTCCCATGACACTGGAGTATGAGACTCCAATCTTTCAGTCCACTGAGAGCAATGAGCCCAAAGCTTTAACACAGAAGGACTTGATATCATTTGCTTTTCAAGTTGCCAGAGGCATGGAGTACCTTTCAACCAAACAGGTAAAGTTATTTAACTGTTTATAACGTCAACTTCGTTTCAGATTCAGTCACTTATTTGTTTCGCTTTGTTTCATATTTTAAAATGTTTTGCATCAGTAATTAAAGTTAAACTACTGCTCTGCCATTAAAAATAAATGACGAGAATGTATTAATTTCGTGTCGTTTGTTGCACTTAAGATTACATTTATGGATTCAAGCATTTAAAGGTTTGACAAACTACTGGCAGGACTGTTACATAGACATTTTAGCCTGTCTTTTAAAAAATTCAACTTTTTAATATTTTCTGTGTAGTGCATCCATCGAGATTTGGCAGCAAGAAATGTTTTGGTGGCTGAAGACTATGTCCTCAAGTTGGCAGATTTTGGCCTGACTCGAAACCTTTCTACGTCTGATTACTACAAGAAAACAACAGATGTAAGTCTCAAACAAAACATGACTGTTTTAATATAGAAGTTTTTTCTCCCCACGTCCATGTTTTCTAAATTTTTAAATAAATCTATAATAATCATAATAAATATTTAATTTATAATGGTAACAACAGTAGACACAGAGGCCTTTTTCACATGGGTCATTATTTGAAAAAATAACATTTATTATCAGGGGAGGCTACCAGTTAAATGGATGGCTCCAGAAGCTCTGTTTGACAGAAAGTATACTTCTAAAAGTGATGTGTAAGTATGGATTCATTTTTAAAGCTATTGTATATTAAATTTTATAGTTATCAAATTAGCCAATGTGATATGTAAGTAGTATTATATTATATTTTATAGTTGTAAAATTAAAGTTGTAATCAAATGAAAAGTATTTTTTTTAACAATGATTTTTAAAAATGATAGCTCTTTGAAAAGTATTTTATGTAAAAAAATTTATTCATCAAATTAAAAAGATTTTATCATAATGGAAGTTCTTTTGTAAAAGTGACATTTATTTGTCATTACATTTAAAAAGAAAACAAATTAACTATTTTATGCAACTATCTCTACCTGTCAGTGCAAAAAGTTAAATCCTAATTGTTTAAATTTTTTGTAGCTGGTCATATGGTGTTTTACTGTGGGAGATTTTCACACTGGGTGGCAACCCATATCCTTCAGTACCAGTCGAAGCTTTGTTTGCCCTGTTGAAAGATGGCCATAGGATGAAGCCGCCACCTTATGCTTCAACTCAAATGTAAGTTCTAACTTTTGGAACTTCAGCTTTTATTTGTTCTTATATTTGAATTGAATATTCAGGTTTAAGTGGCATTTAGAAGTTTACTTAGTCTATCACATAGTCAATAATATTAAGTAGCTTAGACGTAAGGCAGTTTTTACTTGTAACTAAATGCCTACATTGGTAACCTATTTCATAGTTAATGCTTACTTGTGTTAGGCACAGTTTCATGGATGTTTTAACTGTTAGCTACTTAGCCCTAATACTGTTGCTTATTCAGGTATGGCATAATGCAAGATTGCTGGCAAGAAGACCCAGATAAACGACCTTGTTTCAACACTTTGGTTCAAAAACTAGATAACATGCTGACTTCTTCCCTTAATCAAGAGGCAAGTTCATTTTTCCAATAAAAAACGTACTTGTATTTTAAAGTAATATTCAATTTTTTAAACTTCATTTCATTTAATATGTGTGTACTCTGAATAATCTTGTCATAATTTTTTCTTCACTCAGGCATATCTTCTTCTTGAACCACTGGATAGTCCCATCAGCACATCAGATTCACAGTACTCTTCAATGAGTCACAGCAGTACTAGTAGTGATCCCAAAAGTTCTGAATGTAGCTCCGTAATGGGTTGATTGTGAGCTTGTTGAGGATGGTAGCTGTGTCACTATTTGCTGATGGTAGCTGTGTCACTATTTGCTGATGGTAGCTGTGTCATTATTGGCTGATGGTAGCTGTGTCATTATTGGCTGATGGTAGCTGTGTCATTATTGGCTGATGGTAGCCGTGTCATTATTGGCTGATGGTAGCTGTGTCATTATTGACTGATGGTAGGTCTGTCATTGCTGATAGTGATCTTGCAACAGATGGTGACTAACTAAAGATGACTCTGGAGGATGGTGACCATGCTATTGTCTTTAGTTTTTGCTAAAGAGGAACATTGATGTGAGTAGAAGCCGGTGTTCAAGTGCTCAAGTATTCTTGAGATTCCATTTTCACAAAAGTGGCATCATCAGATTTCATAGCAGTGAATATTTAAAACATTGATGGCAGTGTGCCACATTTCATTGCAGTGTTTATGATAGAAAATCAGGATAAATGTGCCAAATGAGAAATGAAATCCATGGCTGGATGTGTTTAGTGTAAATAACAGGAAAAAAAAACTTTAAAAAACACAAGCCAAAAGATTGTAATTTTTATTACAAATCATTTTTCTCATTACATGAATATAATCCATTCAGGTAGATGGATGATTTCCTTTTATTTTTTTTTTGGTTATTCTAAGTAACTCTTTAATTGATGACACCAATTATAACAGAGCAACTGTAGGGCATCTCATTTGTTTAAAATTTTTCTTATTGATACAATCAGTATTAAATTAATCGGGTTAACAGTGGGCGCTAGACTGTCTGTTTGTGCTGTTAATTTCAATTCTGTGATGGAGAGAGACCAGTGGCCTGCAGGTTCCAGCAATCTGCTGGATCACATGTACATTGTTTTCTACAGAGGGTTTTAGATGGCATGTTTTGTGGCATTGTGATTGGTTAAAAACTTGGATTTCATGTAAAGTTTAGTTTCATCAAAAGTTGAACTTGATGAAAAGCTTGACGTTGTGAAAAGTTGCAGTGGAGGGTTTCATGAAGGATTTATGTTGAAGATTAGAATTCTTTAGAACTGATAAATGAATGAAATCCAGCTTGAAATGCCTGGAATGGAATATTCTCTCCATGTTCACAATGACCGACAAAGAACAAGAATTCTTCATGTATATGATCATATAACATTTTGACAATTTGTAATGAAACAAAATTTTATGTACTTAACATATTTATTACAAGCTTACTTTCTTAGCTAACATTCATATCTGTAGGTTTTATTTCCATTTTTTTCATTCACTAAATGGCTTAGAACTTGTTTTTCATCTATTTAGGTTTTTAAATGTTAAATATTAAAAAAATAATGTAGGGAGCATAATCTACTAGCATAAATACGTTTTTTAACAGTAAAAGTGCTTAGCAGTATGTGTAAATTTAGATTCATGGAGTCTAGACGTTGCATCGTTGGTTTCTTGTATACATTGTCAGTAGTGCTTCTAGTATATGAAAATGTTGATTGTGTCATATGCTCACTTAATATTTATAATTGTTCATGTTCTCTTTTGTAGTTCACATCATGCATTATTCTTTTCCAATAATTTATTTTGTTGTTTAATTTTTATAATTTTTTTTGTAATCAGTGAATGGCCAGATAATTTAAAAAAATAGAAACCACACTTGAAAAAGGGGGTGAAGTAAGAATAAACAGTGTTGATTTATTTTCTCTATTTCTCTACTGTTTTCCTTTTTTTTTTAACATCTTTTTACACTTTTACAATTTAAACTTACATGGCATTTGGAAAATAATCTATGACAAAAATAAGAGATTACCGTCTCATTTGTGTTAACTTAAACATTGTTTAATTAATAGATTTGTTTAATGGCCACTAATATATTTTATACAAGTTCTGATTGAGACACAAATCGTCAGAGATCGCTCTTAGTTTTGTTACTTATAAATATTGTTCAACTTAAAATTGTGTTCATGGAAGTTTAGATATTATTTTATACAAGGTCTGATTGTCTTAAGAACATTTGATGTACAAATCATTTAGTTATTTCTGCCTTAAAATATTATTTAAGGCATTGTAAATATTGTGTAAAGATTTCGTTATTTAATCGAACTTAATCATATTTCCACATTTGTTTCAATTTTTTTTAAAAGATGTGTTTGTATCACAGGTTAAAGCTTACCATTTCTGCAATTGAAATTAATGGCAGGTAGTCAATAATGTGTTTGAAATAAACTTAATCAAAGTAAATTAGAAATATTGGGGACCTTAGGTTAAACGTAGTTGATAAATGACATGCTTTCTTTAGTCACAAGACCTTCACAAATTTAGACCCTTCTCCCATCAAAAAAGAAACTCCCCACCCCATGCTGTTAAAAATACAATTGTAATGGTAACTTTTCTTATAAAAAACACTTAGTTGGAAAGTAATCCACAAATATTAAGTTAATTCACAATTTTTTGTTTAAAAGTCTGATAAAGATGTGTATATAATACAATAGCAACTTTTGTTTTCTTTGAAACTTGCATTTACCTTTGAATCACATGTTCATCACAATGGTGTTCACAGATTTTGTACAACTTGAATCAGTTTATTGTTGTACACAAGTTTAGCCACTGCCCATTTGTCTAACATTTTACAAATTTACAAATGGAATTTTCTGTTTTATAAACATTTTACATCACTCATACAATGTGTTCAGAATAATGTACTTATCGAATCCTAAGTGGGCTTCCAGAAGGGGAAATAAATCACTCCACTAGTTGGCAAGTGTGTTATAAATTCAATCTATTATTTTAAGAATTACCTGTTAAACTGTTTTTTTAATTCGGAAAAGTTATTTTAAAGACTTATAAATTACTTAGTTTAAATATATTAAATATTGATGTAATTAGTTTTAAATTGCGGGTTTAACAATTGAAGTAAAATAACAAATGTTAGGAAAACAATTAAATTCATCTGCTAAAGTTTGTTGCTTTGCTGTAAACTTGTTACTTGATTGTTGTGTATAGTTGCAAGCTTATTTTAAATGTTGAGGTTTAGTGCTCATTTATGTTATGTATTATAGTACCCACATGTTGACTGAACATGTGGAAAATATATTTTAGGTTGTATTTGTTAGATTACACTGAGAAACGTTGTTTGTTTAGGTGAATATTTTTTTCATTGTCATAAAATAAACTTCAAAAACTTTCTAGGCTAATTTAAGTCATTTCTAATTGGATAGATTTTTTTTCTTTAATGCTGTCAAATTGTTTTGAGTATTTTCCTTAAACATTGTATTTGATTGATTTGTTGTGTACAATATAGTTGTGGTTGTATGCACAATATAAAACTAAAACACAATAAATTTTGTTTTCTTTCTTGTTTGTTTGGTCAGTGTACCTGTTTGTGTCACCAGTGTATTCACTTAACTTTCACCAGATGGTGAGTTACCTCCTGTTTGTGTCACCAATGAGCGCACAAGTTTCAGTATATACTTTTATTTCTACTGTAAAATAGTATATCATTCAGTATTGATCAATTAATATTATCTACCACTTTAGCGCCCTCGTTTGGGTCGGAGCCCGAGGCGGCCGCCCCACCCCGCCCCCTCTATTGCTACGCCTCTGACTAATGTAATGAGGTAACTATTGTATTTAATAAAAATCTTTTAATTGCAAACATTTCAGATAGCTCCAGTGCAATTATTTTGGATAGAGGTTGGAAGTTAGTGTTGTTTTCACTAACTTTGAAAAGATTTAGATTTTCAAACGAAATTAATTGTTGGCACCACAAGATCCTAAACAGATTTTCAAAGTAGAATTCCGCCATATTATCTTGTATATTGGTATACAGTCCATCAAAGAGAGGTTCTGGGCCCTCACTGCAGGGTACATAAACGGCCACCCTGGCTAATAAATCAAAAGGTAAAGTGTATTTTGGTGACCACAGACAGATCGTTTTTTTAAAAATCTGGTTAAAATATATAGATTTAAAATTTAATTAATGAAAAATTAACGACGGAGATCAGCTTGTATGACAATGTAGTAAGGGAAATAACTTAACAAATAAATGGAGAATCCCTAACTACCCCAGAGTTACTTCCCTGCACATTTTTCCATCGCGAACAACTCGCCACTCCTCTTAAAAATGGCGTCACACTTATGGAAATATGATGGAAATATTACTTGGGTTATTTCCCTTATCAACAGCAACAAATTAAAATAAAAAATGACATAAAGTAACCTAGCATTTCAAACTGTTGGCTAGCCATTAAAGTCAGGTTGGTTCTATTTACCAATAACTAATTTTCATAAAAATTTATAGAAGTTGAGCTTGAATCATTAAAAAAATATTTTAGTTTAATTTTTTTTCGTCATGGTGTCACCGCCCCTCCCCCTAACTGACGTCACGCTGTGGGCCGACACCCTTACCCACACACACATATACACAAGAAAGTAATTAGCAACCAAAATATAATTTATAAAGAAAATTTAAGAAAAAATTCAATGTTTGATTTATTCCAATCTAACCATTTCCTGTGTCATTGTGCCATCAAGTCATGTCGTAGTATTTGACAAAGATGGCAAACTATTTCCACATCATAAGAGAACCAGTATAATGCCTGATTCGTTTTTGCGTATTTGAAACTTGGAAATGAGTTTTCTGCTTCCCATGGACTATTTCTGTACCGTCCGTCTATCGCGACAAACCAACCTTTGTCTGTAGGACATCCGCTATACATCTTGTTAATGAAGAAGCGCCTGCCATGTTTTTCATCATGGTGTCCTGGAATAGAAAAGTGTTCAGCGTCTCTCGCTGACAAGACATTGGAAATCGCTGAAAAGTTGATACAGAACTACACATTTGATACAATACTTATTAATGAAATTTCATCAACCTAGCGGCAACGGTACTCAAGTACACACACACACACACGCACACGCACCCCCCCCCCCCCACACACACAGGGACAGAATTGCAAAGCCCAGTTTTTCTGACTCGATTACGCGTAAAACGCCAACATTTTGATCAATCTGCATTTATTATTTTTGCCCCATTAAAATATGTCCCTAAAAACTCAGTATAATATGGTGAAGTACTGCGAAGAAAAACGGTGAAAACTGTCAAAATTTAATGTGATTTTAGTGCACGATTACAATACTTCCTCTATATACACTGTATACGAGAAATTACATAGACGTTACTTATAGCTTTGCATACATTTTCTGCATTTCAGTAATAAAGCAATTCGCGCATACTTGCCTACATACAATTTCCAATAAATGAAGCTATTTGAGAGGTATTTTGGTGGTCGTGTCAAGGTATTTTGAAATTTAGAAAAAATTAATTAAAAAACGTTTTAATAAGCTTTTATGTAATACTGCATTAAAAAGTAGAAAATAAATTATACACTACTATTTAAATTATTATAAAGAAAAGCGTGAGATCCACGCTTCTACCACTACTCACTACTCATAACCGTTCGATCCCCCACGCCCTCCTCTTTTCCCTAATCCCGCTAGGAGCGTAGGCCATAAAATTAACGGGCGACATAAATGTTTATTTTCTTGGTTAAGCACGACAACTCTATTAATACTGTCGACAGCATCATCCAAGCTTGGTTACTTCCCCTTAAGAGAGGATAATATCTGAATATGTGACTATGGGATGGGGGTGTGTCGTGCCAACACCCCCCTCCACAAACACACCCACCCTCGCACAATATAGAACGCAATATTAAAATCAAATATGAAATATATAATTTAATCATCGTCCACCCACACTATGGTAAATGGATTATGGGGCGAGTGGTGTGTGTGTTTGGGGGGGGGGGGGGTGAAAGGGGTGACCTTGAGGTAAAAAAATCGGTGAAATAAGCTTCCTCGTTAGAGGCATCTTATTTATCTAATACAATACATGAAGCTTCAAAGACTAGTTCTCTCTTTCATTGTGAGTTGTTTAAAAAAACATAGGGGAAAAACCACCTTCATTTTAAAACATATCAAAGAAAACAATACAAATTGAAACGCGTTGGATTTATGTGATGTAGTATAACAATTTTAAAACAAGTTAATAGAAAGATTTTCGAATTATACCCTAGTTACTTCACAATGTCGATCGATGCTTTAGTGATACAAAACATAGTTTTAAAAAGTTGTAAGCTGGGTTAACAAATATATTCTGATATATTTATATGTTGTCTGGTGACTACAGTTGTTTAGGTTGTTTGATGACGGAGTTTTGTGTGTACGTGAAAGTGCTACGTGTAAACAATGTGTAGTGAGATTGTCTGACATTCGTGTATGTTCGATGGGTGTAGGACAGTGTCTAGTGCAAGGTTAACGTGTTCTGGTGTGTTTTGACATGTGGGTGGCTGAGCTAGTGTTCACTCGACGACCAATGGAAGATGGTCAAAGGGAAACAACTAGTGGCACGGACTATGGAGGGGGAGGGGGGTGAAGGAGGATAAATGAAACGTAACACGCATGTCTAAACCCGAGACATAGTGTGTTCAACAGCGATTTTTTTTTTTCATGACAATTGACTGGTTGTGTTTATTATTGATATAGGAAATTTCTTGACGTGTGTTAGCTATTGTGAAGACCTCACAAGATAATCTAGTTCGACTGTGTAGCTTAGCTGTCTTTGGTACACAAATTAAATTGTGTAAAGTTGTGTGGATTCTGTGTGTGGGTTCTGTGTGTGGATTCTGTGTGTGGATTATGATTTGTTCGTGGAATAAGCAAGGACTTTAT